CTACTCTCCTACTTCTTCAAAACTAATGTATGTCTCAAATATGCAGCAATGTGAAGCAGTTTTACTCATTTTTGACTCATATCTATCATGCACTACCATCAGGGAGGTGTTTGAAATTCCCTCTGTAGCATGACAACTAGCCCAAATATACTATCAGAGCCCTAAACAACTATCATAGCAACAATATGAATGGAGCTTCTACATCCCTAAGCATAGTGGAGATGGTCAGGGACCAAAGAGGACTGAACCCAAAAATGAACTGTGACAAGTTCAAAGAGTTAAGGTAGAGTCTAACAGACATCTGTGAATCTGTTGCTTTTTTGAGCCATGCAATAAACAAGAATGTAATTTAGACTTGTGTAAAGTAAACCCAACTTAGAAAAAAAACTCAGTATTCCAAAAGTGTTATTCATTTTTTCTATTTACAGCACTTTGTATTTGCACTTTGTCCAGAATCAGAGCTCAGACTGCACCACAGCCATCACAGTCAACAACAACAAAAGTTCCTGCTGGCATGCAGGGCCGACTGACAGCAAAGCGCTGTGGCAAAGATAACAAAGTAAGAGTGAGAAACAGTCAAAACAATCCACTCTCAACCTTTGGATAATTACCAGGCTCGGGTCGATGTCTGGCACAGTTTCCATTGGATGGATCTTGGCCCTGATTTGTTTGCAGAAAGGCTGACTGACTCTAAACTGAATGGGGGCACAGCTGGGATTACTGCAGATTCATTTGTCAGGAGGAGGAGTAATGGAGGGAAAGAGTGATGAGAGGAGAGGGAATTCAATTCCATCTGTTCATTGCATAAATCAGTGCAAGTACAGGTAGGTAGTAAATAACTAAGAGTTATTCTCTACCTGAATTAACTTCTGTCAACTTCCAGCTTAAGGTGCTGAGAGCAGCAGAGGTTGTAGACACACACTTGTTTACACACCAACAGCCCCTTCCATAAAATATAACAGTCTAAGACATACTGTTAGATTTATTTGGTTTAATAGCCCCATCCACAGGGTAGCAGTGGTTACGGTCCAAAACAATAACAGAGACACACGGAGCAATCAGGAAATTCAAAGGGAGACTGAAACCACCAAAGCATTTCAAGCTTAATATTTCATTCTTGATCCTGGAAACTGTAGTAGCCAAAATAATCTCCACTTGCCTCCACCGAGAGACTCTTCTTCTGGGATTTTCAACCATAAAAAATATTACCCTGACATGTACAAGAAAGTTATAAAAGAAAAGCTGCTCCCCTTATTTACAAAGGATCAACATAGGAAGGAGTTCCGCATATTTGATTTGGCAGGATGCACTTCCTGACACATTCCTCAAGGGATTTGTCTTCTCCCAGGATCAAACCAAGGATCTGCAAAGGTGTAAACTACTGCACTGTGGAGCCACTATAAGAAAGTCCTAAAGTGCCTAAAGGAAAAAAGAACCAGTCAAACTCAGTCTTTCTGAAGAGTAACCGTGTAACATCTGGAATCGATGTTTTATTACACTGAAGAAATAATTTAATCACTTAACTGCACAGACTTTGTGTTTTTGTCCTGTTTTGATTAGAGAAGGATCAACTGCAATTTTTTGGGCTATCCCATTTTTGGATTTTCTCCAAGTGTGACCCACAGATACCATTTTTTTTTAGATTCTGACTTCCTCTCTAAAAATGACAGCATGTGCAAGTAAAAGTCAACTTTCTTCAATGCAAAATTGAATTTTCATTATGAAAGACATTATTAAACTTCACAATTTCTTTATAATCCCCCCAAGCTGCAGTGAGTTACAGGATCTTCTATAGACAGCTAAAAATATAGTGCTTTACTCTGGAAGCAGGTGTAAATAATTACCTGAAAATGAGTTGCTGAACCCCCAAATTCAAAGAGATCTTTTTCTTTACCAAACAGAAGCTCATACAACATATTTAACAAAACAAATGTCAGGTACTTAGAATTATATTACAGGCATGTTAAGAATTTGTTAGCCTCCTTAAATGTCCATGTTCAGCTGGGTGAAGGTGAATTAAGAGTCTGATGTGATTTGTTGTCACAATTGCTTTCATGGTGTTTCCCCTGCAGTTTACTTTAATTCTATCATGTTGTGTGTGACTGTGCACATGACTATTTGCCTATCTACACTGTTGTGCATTTGTTCCACATGCATGAAACAGACCAGCTCACAACTGGACATGTGTGAGGATGACCAGTCAATTCCAATCCCTGCCTGGTCAATTAGTGCACCCCTAGTTCTAATTCATTTTCTACTTTGACACTGTCAGTGTAATCGTGAATTAAAAAAAAAAAAAAAGTGTCAAATTTTGCTTGTATTAGATAGTTGAGATGTGAAAACGAACTAAAATGTACAGGACACAAGCGTTCTGATATACCAGCTTGATGCAAATAACTTATTAACTCCTCCAAGCTTCTCTAATCTGTGAATGGAAAAACTTTCAGACTTTTGCACCTTTGTCTCAAAGGCATTCATATTGTTTACTCAAGCAATAACTGTCTCTGGAAAGTGCGAAAGTGAGCTTTTGCCTACCTTCTTATCTCCACACACTAAGTTGCTGCACAAAGCTGGCACTCTTGTTGCACTGTTAGTTTGGGAAAATTACTGAAATGATCTGATACACCCCAAACATTTAAAAGCAAGAGCATGAGGGCATTTCATACAATCCATAGCTTTGTGATTTGATTTACGGACAAGCATTTTTATGGATGCATCATGAATGAAGCACTGATGATGCTGTGTTATTGTTGTATGTCAATAAACTGCACATAGTAAACACACAAAGAAAAAACAAATCTAGGCGTTGCTTGTGGACATTACTGTAGCAGGAGAGATGAAATCCTGTGAAACACAAAAACAGCTCTTCCATGTTTGTCTGCAGACTCTGACTCATCACTGCATGATGGAGCTCAAAATGGTTTCACCGACTGTGACAGCAGCTTTTTAAGGTGCAGTGGCCTCAGTGATTTTTAAAAATAGGATTGTGCTTTCCTACTAATCTGCATAGGCGTCAGAGTGACTGTGCAGGATGGGAGTAGGCTTCTCCTTCTTTATGGGGTGTGGCACAGATGTAGGGAGCTGACCTTGGTCTCCATGTGTGCACAGTGATACAATTGGACTGGCTCACCAATCTTAAATTTGCTAAAGTGCAGCTGCAGAGACAGTCAATCAGTGACTCTGCACTGTAAGAGAAGCAATAAACAAGAAAGAGAAGGAGAAAGAGGTAGCAATCACTCCACCTAATTCACTTTACAGTCTCCTCTGTATCATTACTGAGATTGCACAGCAAAGGGCAAGCTGTCTGGAGGCAGAGGAATGATAAAATACACACATGAACCCAAACATTGCATTCTGCTAGCTTCTGCTTCTGACCAGGAGGAAAATGTGGAAAACCAGATACTCGATATGCAAAGAATGAACTCAGCTTCCCCCCATCAAAGGACCACCAGCGTGTGGGTGGCAATAACTGCACACTATTACTTCAAAGAGCCACTAGACAAATCTTACTGCGACTACATTTTACTATGGTAAAATGTTGCACCCCTAGACAGCTGCAGCAAAAACCTCCCTGTTTCGGTCGCAAGCAGGTAGCCCTGGTCGCTCATAGCTTGCATGGAAGACACAGACTCTTCACTGCTAACAGGTGTGAACAGTGTGGCACAAATGTTCACTTTCGAAGTAAAAGTTGTTGGTTGCAACACCTGCAACAATAACGTTTGCTCTAATGGGTATCGTGAACACGACATACCAAAAACCAAAACTGCTGTTTACTTTAATAATGAATGAGCTTTGCTTCATGAATAAACTGTACACACTGACCACATTTCTATGTAAATTTACAAGTTTGTTACTTCAATAAGACATTTAAGGTCAGGCATGCAGCAACTGCTCTTTCACTTTTCTAAAATAACAAGAACAAAAGATCAGATAAGTAGCTATATTTGGGCTTATCCAGGTAACATCAGTGTTAACGGTGAGTATTTGGTATCACAAAGCCGGTTCACTTCTCACAGGGCTACACTGCCATGGGAACTTGTTGCAGGCCTATTCTGCTCAGGAGCAAGATAAGAGATAAGAGAACAACATATACAAAACCACCTCAGGGTGACGATCATTCTATGGAAAATCACATAATCACTCCTGGAATATCTCTGCTAGTTGGGATGTTGATTGTAGCCAGGAATAATAGTCAAGTAAGAAATATAGATTCAGATACAGAAAACATAGCCTTGGTGTGTTGAACTTGCTTTGTAAGGGAATCTCTTGGAAATGGCCTAATGTTTGTGCTAAGAGGTGATCTTAGCAGCATAGGAAGACTGTTTTTTGCAGCTGAAATTACAGTGTGAACCATCCAAATATCATCTTGGCTGCATCTCTCCAACCACCTCAGCAACGACGAGTTAACACGCCAGGAGATTTGCAAACAGGCACAAAACAACATCAGAAAAAAACCCGCCATCCATTTGCATTTCTGCTACTGCTGGCATTGCACTGGCAGGGAAACTGGGCCCTCAGATATATAAAGACAACATATTTTATTACACCAACATACAATATTAATCAGTCTCTCCAGGCTTTGAACGTGTGTGATTCCATCACTAATCAACAAATAGACACAAGTCTCTTTTGGTGCTGGTATCTTGTCTTTTCTATAATGCAGCAGCACTTATCAGCAGAAGCCAAGTTTATCTGCTTTCCAGCACTGTGGCCACATCTATTGTGCACTCAAACCTCTCCTGTGTCACAACAAGAGCTCGGACTTTCACTGGAGGTCTGTAAGAAGATCTCTCTAAGCTGCCAAAGGCATCAGGGTCAGTTATAGGTCTGGCACATGTCCTATTAAAATCTACGCTTGTTGGCACACAGCAGCCAGTGAGGCTGTAAACGTACAGACTCAGATGTGTGTATGGGTCTGTCACGGCCTGAACTCAAGGTTTATCGGCAAACCAAGAACCGTGGGGGTGCTAAGTGATGAGTTAAGTGGCAGATCCTCTTACCATAATGAGGCCAGTGGTGATCGGGTCGTTGCAGCCATGGCACAGCTCCCCAAATTTGGCCCAGTAGTCCTTCTTGCAGAAGAGCCGGCCATCTTTTTCATAATACCAGTGGGACAGCGAGGCGCTGCACTCACAACACCTAACAGGAGAGGAGACAGAAACGGACACAAGAACAATTAATTTAACAGAAGATTAAAGACAAAGTAATACCACTGCTCCCTTAAACATGAATAATCCAAACATAATGAAGATGATCAAGTCCATTTGCAGTCGTAAAAGAGAGAAAGTAAATTAAACTTTTTGACAACACAGAAATTTAAAACATACAACAACCAGAATGAAATATTTGAATTGCAATAAACCAAACCAAAGGTTTTTCCAATTTACGATATTCTAATAAAAAAAAAAGAAATAAAATAAACTAACCTTGCTTTCATATTTAAAATGGGCAGACAAAACAGATGAATTAAACAATTACATGTAAAATCATTTACTGCTGATCAATATTATAAACAGATTCATCAGCTGTAATTTTCAGCACCCTGAGTAGTTCAGTCAACCTGCAGGTCAGACCTCCAGGAAAGTTAAGTGGTGCACAGCAGATTGACTTGTTATTGTGCTGACAGAACATAATATTGTACTGCTCTCTGTAAACCATACTTTAACCCTCCTAATGACGCCTTGCAGAGCTCCAAATTATTGTTTTCATAGCAATAACAAGTTCCTTCGTGGCCCCGTCACACACCACGCAATAGGCAAATGATAATACATTAACCCACAGCTTATGACTGGAAAAACAAAACAGAGTCACAGCAAATAGAAAACATGAACGATAAACAGAGCAAACACTACGTCAACCGACGTAGCCTAGTAAGCTAGGCTAAGTTAGCCTAGTAAGCTAGCATAAACCTAGAATAAATAGGATAAATAAAGTGTATCTTATGTTATCTTTATCGTATTTTGATTAATTCACAACCCCAATATCAACAAAGTTTGGACGCTGTGTAAAATGTCAACAAAAAGGAATGCAAATTTTATAAACACATTTTATTCACAACAGATTATAGAAAACATTTTTTTTTTTTTAAACTGAGACATTTTACCATTTTAGGGAGAGAAAAAAGAGCTCATTTTGAATTTGATGGCAGTAAGGTGTTAAAAATAAGCTGTGATGGGGTAACAAAAGGGTGAAAAAGTAAGCGGTGTGGACTAAGAAGAAACTGCTGGAGGGACACTTCGCAATCAATTAGGTTACCTGGCAACAGATTGGTAACATTATTGGATATAAAAAGAGCACCTTTGAGAGACAGAGTTTCTCATAAATAAATATGGGCAGTTGTTCACCAATTTGCAAAAAAATTGAGTCTACAAATTGTGGAGCAATTCCAAAATAATGTTCCTCAATGTAAAATTGCAAAGAACAAATATCTCATCATCTACAGTACATAATATCATCAACAGATTCAGAGTAATCGAGAAATCCCCAGTGCATGGTGCAAGGCCAAAAACCAATACTGGAAACATGACGGATCTTGGGATACTCAAGTGGCATGGAAATCACTGGATGGACTCAGGAACATTTCCAGAAGTCATCGTCTGTGAGTACATTTCACCGTACAATCAGCAATTGCAGATTAAAGTTCTATGATGCAAAAAAGAACGTGATCCAGAAGCAGGACCATCCAGCTTGTTATCAGCACTCAGTTGAAAAGCTTGTGTCTCTGATGGTGCAAGGGTGTTTTAATCCCTGTGCAACATGCAGCTTGTACACCTGGAAAGGAACCATCACTGTATATACAGATTTCACAAGAATACATGCTTCAACCAGACAACATGCAAATTTTCATTACCCTACATAACTTTAGATGTATTTATTTTATTAACATGAATTTAAAACACACACACACAAACACACTCACACACAGACATACACACAACAAAACACTCCGTCATCAGGCTGCTCCCGTTTGAGTGTCTGAAAATAAGCCAGTGTTGTGGTATGGTTTCTGAACCTGAGTCTACACCAGTTACTAAGAAGACGGTCTGATAGCGAGCCCAAAAAACATCCTTATCTCTAGAGCTAGTATATCACCAGAGTTTAATCGCAAAACCAGTCAGTCACCCTGATAGACATCAGATGATGACAGACAGAAGGCAGCTGAGACGGCAACAGACAAAAGGCTGTTCGTATGGTGATAGACAATGAGACAGATACGAGACACACAACTTCCAAGTTCACCTACAATGCAGATAGTACAGACTGATACACATGTGAGTGTGACATTCAAAATAAGTCCAGGTGTTTTCCTGGTAACTGATGGCAGATAAGAAAAGTAATTCTATGGGAATAGTGTGTTAATCTCTTATGGGTCAGACTTTTGTTGAACACACAACTGGGAAAGAAATGTCCATAAAAAAACAGGTTGAGTCCTCCTGATTTTCCAGCCGATCAGAAAACAATTGCTTTTTTTCTCCACACTGCATGACTTTGTGAAAGTTGTAGGCACAATAGCTCTGCATGTGTCCATAAATCAAAATGTGTGCTAATCCCCCATGCATGTGATAATGCATTGGTGAGGTAGTACACTGCTGACGTGCTTACAGACTGTGAGTGCTTGTTTGTAATCTGTCTAAATCAGTGCGTCTAGCATCCATGACTAAGTGAGCATCTCTGGTCCTTCCCAGTGGAGCTTGCCTCCCATCAGCTGGCCGTCTGGGCTCATCTCTGCTCAGGGCAGCTTAAAACAAGGGCTACTTGCTCTAAACATATTATGGATTCAGAAGCTGGAGCATAATTGACTTTATCCCTGAGCCAGAATAATACCAGTTGATTGTAGGTGAGGGGTCAGAGTAAGAGCAACTACTACGAAAAAAGGAAGAAACAAGGACTACTTACTCTGACTGGGACAGGGTTACTAAGGCTGGGTGAGCACTTTGTTGCTGGACCTTATGCCATGCAAAAGAGCTACACAACAGCTGCAGGAAGTACTGTAGGACTTGTGTGGTGGACATGTGGATTGAGCGATGGTTGGGGAAAAGGATGTCTCCAATTTCCTGGTTGTCTTTTTTTTATTTGTGCAGACTTGTTAATTTCCTTTTTAAATGAACTATCTAGGGGTTTGAATTCTAGTTTGCAAAACACAATAAAAAAAGGAAATTGTTTTTTATCCCCCTCCCAAAAAATTAAAGCTCCTAGGATTTTCTGCAGAGGGCTGAAATGTGGTGCAGCCTCTGCATCCCCTCCCTTTTTTTCTCTTTGCTGCACTTTAAGGATTCTTACTTTGCTGAATACCTGTCCGTGTTTGCTAGAGTAAAAACTGAGAGACTCATTAATATATTCAGCAGAAGCAGCAACTTTCTGTGACTTTGCCCGAGGCCTTTCACCTTGTGTGAGCCACACACTGTGTACAAACACATGACCTTGCAGCACATACTGACACTCATGCAATTTATTTATTAGACAGACACACTCAGTCTCCCCAGTGTCCGCATGCAGAGCTTCACTGCAGCTCAGCAGATTGTGGCAGAGCTGCTTCAGTATGCAGCGCGTCTGGGTGAGCAGGGGGGAGGAGGAGACTTTGAAGTGGGTCAAGGCTTTCAGAAGACGTCCGCAGTGCCGAGCCAGGAGCTACTCGGCTGTCTTGGCTCTCTGCCCCTCAATAACTGTCTATCACTTCACACGTACACATCCTGAGAGGTCCTGCTGAGGCAAAGTCATACCTGGGTGGGACGCATGAAATTCTAGGAGTCATTGTAAAGCTCAGTGGGTCTGCTACTTTCTGAAATTTGTCTCCATGTAGTCCTGAGGGGTAGCAGCGTATTAAAGATATGAGTGAATACATTAGTGCCTCCCAGGAGGAGATTGCAAAATTTCTGCCTTCAGCACAAAAATCTTATCTCTGAGGTAAAGCAGACATGCAGCAAAGCTGAATTACAACCCAAGACTCCCATGGAGGGGAAAAAAGCCCCACCACAATAAAAAAATAGTGTGTTAATGTGTATTTGTTGGCTCTCTTTTGGTGTTTTTGTGTGATTGTGTTTGGGTGTGTGGTGGCATTGACGTGTAAGAGGATTATCAGTGTGAAAGACTCAGTTAGAGCCTCTGCCCGTTCTGCTATGATGCTCCAAAAATCTAACTAGTAGAGAGCTTAACAGTTTCTCATACCCTGCTGAGCTCTGACAACTCCTCACTGTAGGGGAAAAATTAAAATAAAACAATATATATTTTACTGTAATACAAGCAGTGCTGATGGTTCACTTAATCTAAGTTACAATGACCTGACAAACACTAGAAAAGGGGCAGGGGTAAAGAAATGCACACGCAGGCTGCACAGACATAACTAACTCCCACAGACCAGTGAGAGGGGGCAGAGCAGATTTTAGACACAATGAATGCCAGCTGGATCTCAGAGGGGAGGAAACAACCAATGACAGAAGAGCTGAGATTAAAGGAGGGGAGTGAGTAAATCTGCAACTGTTCCCCCCCTCCTGCTTGGATCCCTGGTGGAATTAGCTGAAAGTATCTGAAAGAGGAATACATTCCTTTTCCAGGTCAAAAGGAGGCAGTTTTTTTTACCCTGCCTCTCACCTCACCTTCCTCCACAAACATCTGCTCTCTATCCAAGTGCCATCACGTGTTACTCAGTGTCTGTTGAGGCATTTGTGCTCAGACAAAATCTTCTATCTTTAAGTTTTACACAACATAGACTATAGCAGCCGAATAGCAGCCACTACAGATTGAAAGCTTCGCCTGGTCTGATGAGTCTCGGTTTCTGCTGCTACATTCAGATGGTAAGGTCAGCATTTGGTGTAAACAGCATGAAACCATGGATCCATCCTGACTTGTATAAATGATTCAGGATGGTGGTGACAGTGTGACGATGTGGGGGATATATTCTTGGCACACTTTGGGTCTCTTGGTACCAAATGAGCATCATTTAAATGCTACAGCCTACCATGTCCAGACTCTATGATCACAGTGCAAGGATCTTCTGATGGCTGCTTCCAGCATGATAACACGCCATGTCTTAAAGCTCAAATCATCTCAAACTTATTTCTTGAACATGACAATGAGGCCACTGTACTCAAATGACCTCCACAGTCATCAGATCTCAATCCAATAGAGCACATTTGTGCTGC